CCTATCCCCTCCGGTCGTGGTCCGTTGGTCGTAGTACGTCAGATAGGCGTAAGGACGAAAAAGTGAAAATGCAGGTGACTCCTTACTTTCCGTGTGTCCCGCCAGGGGACAGAGGACGTGATGGTTCAGAGATAGGCAAGGGTGCTAGCAATGCCTGTAGAACATAAAGGGGAGGAAGCCGATTTCCTGGGGCAGGGGGCCCCTCAGACTGCAATGTAGATCCGACAAAGTTATGGCCAACCTAACCGGAAGCTCTGGAGCAAAGGCTACCTGGTAGGCAGTCCCGGGTTGGGCAGAAATGGCCAGGCTCATGCTGGGTCACTGGCTGGAGGCTCAGGATGAAGGTGGCCTCTGCTGGAAACTGGAGGCAGCTCCTGAAGGCCCTGCCGCAGGAGGTCGTCAGCCCGAGCCCAGCACTCCTCAAGGGGGACTGGCAAGTTCTGCTCTTTATTGAAGGGAAACTCAGGCAGTATCTGTGGCTTCCATAGTGTAGATTGGGGCCCAGAGACACCCCCACTGTAGCCGGAAAGAGCTCCCAGCATGTGCTGCTCACCCCCTGAACACTCCTGGGGCCTTATTTCTCGAACTCCTGGTCAGGGCCAGTTACTTTCTCACAGTCCTCTCCTTTCATCCTCACCAGCCTGGAGAGGACAGAAGGTAAACCTCACAGCAACACAGGAGCCCTGTGGCCGTGAAGGCTGCTCCCCAGCTATGCAGCCTCGGGCTAGTTCCTTAACTGCTGAGCCTCAGTGGCCTCATCTGTAAAATGGAGAATGTAAGAATGGTTATGGGACGCTCTTCCCTTTTACAGATGAGGGATGTAGGAAGTGGGGGAGCTGGGGGCCTTTCCCAGGAGGTGGCCCAGGGCAGGGGTCCCACCTCTCTCTAGACTCCAGCTGCCCTCTAAAGTGTGCAGGGAGGGTGAACTGCTGGGCGGAGGCTGTTCCTTGGGCTTACACGACCCCTGCCTTTCTTTTGCAGAAAACACACCGGTTCATTTACTATGTTGACACTGGCTGGGCCGTGGGGGCTGAGGAATCTGACTTTGAAGGCTGGGCCTTCCCCTTCCCAGGCGTGACACTGATCGAGGACTTCGTGACTCAGGAGGAAGAAGCCGAGATGGTGCAGCTGATGGACTGTGAACCCTGGAAGCTCTCACAGTCTGGGCGGAGGAAGCAGGTAGGCCGGCGCAGAGCTTGGGGAGGAGGGCTGGGCCAGCCAGAGTGGACAGTTGTGCTGCAGGTCCCTTTCAGGCTCCTAACCCTGGGGCCCCTTTGCCCCCGCTTCCTCTCAGTGCCCTCCTCTGCTGCCACCCCCCAGCCCCCAGGGCCGTTAGGGGCCAAGCAGCAGTGCCTCTGCCGCGGCGCCTGCGCTGTGCACACGCCGCCCGTCTCGCCTGTGCCCAGCTCCTCTCCCAGCCCCGCGCAGCTGCATGCTGGATGCCGACCCCTCTTACGCGGCCTTGTGTCTCCTTAAGATAGGCTTGCCTCGACTGGGCCTTTCCCACTGGCCTCCCAGCAAGTTCCATCTCTCTTGTCTCTGCAGCAGAGCTTCTCAAAAGTTACTCTCTTCGATTCCTCTCCTCCTGCTCCCACTCGAAAACTGCTTCCACTGCTGACCCCTTGCCCTAAACCCAGAGGCCTGTTCTCGGGCTCAGTCCTTGGGCCTCCCCCGTCCTTCTCTAGACACTCCCTTGCTGGTTTTCGTGAGGCCCGGCTCTACACATCGATGTGTTCAGGACTTTGTGTTCCTGTCTCCAGCACCCCCACGTCTCCTGTTTGTTGGACCCTAAGCTGAGCTGTGGCCCTTCTCCCACAGCAGCACCCCCGTGCCGTGTCTCCTTGTCGGCAAATTCCATCTTCCACCTGCTCAGGCCAGAGACCGTGGATCTTTCCTGGTTTCTCTGTCTCTCACTGGTGATTCCTGTCAGCTCTTTCTTTCTGAATCTGAGAACATACACCCCAGGCCACCGCCAGCACCTGCTGCAGGCGTGTCCTGCGCAGACCTCGCCCCTCCTCAGGCGGTTTCAGTAGGGAGCAAGTGACCCCACTGACTTCTCGTCACTGCTCTGTTACAGACCCTTCAGGCCTCCCATCTCAACACTGCTGAGGGGTCCGGGCGGCCTGCAGGAGCCCGCGGGCCCTGGCACTGAGCCATGCAGAGATGGAGAAAGACTGCCACCAGGTGGAGCCAGCCTCCAGCCTCCGCTGGAGGGGGACCCCCAGGGGGCAGTGGTCGGCAAATAGATGAGCCCCTCTTTTACCCTTCGGGCCACAGATCTGAGGTGAATTCTACAAGGCTCCCTCCTCCCAAATGTTTTTTTGTTTTGTTTCCTTTTTTAGATAGAAGCCACATACCATAAAATTCACCCATTTCAAGGTATAATTCAGTGGCTTGGTTTTCAGTAAAGCCACAGTGTTGTGCAACCACCACCCACTGTCTAGTTCTGGAACATTCTCTTCACCCCAAAGGAAACTGGTACCTATTAGCAGTCATTCCCCGTTCCCTCATCACCCAGCCACCACTAGCCTACTTTCTGTCTCGGGATTTGCCTCTTCTGGACAGTCATATGAACGGGATTATGGAACATGCGACCCTCTGTGTCAGGTGTCTTGCACTGAATGTAACACTTTTAGGGTTCGACACTTTGCAGCCTGTGTCAGGGCTTTACTGCTTTTTGTGGCTGAATATTCCATTGTATGGATAGATGCCTCTGTTCATCATTCATCCTTGGCGGACACTTGGGTTACTTCCACTTTTTGGCTGTTGTGAACAGTGCTGTGAACATTCGAGTACAGATTTCTGCATGGACTTGTGTTTTCAGTTCTCTTGGGTGTGAAGCTAGGAGTGGATCTGCTGCTAGGTCCTGTGGAAACTGTTCTCCCTTGTGGTCCTAAAGCCCAGTCATGCCCAGTGGTGGCCAGTTGGGTGATGCTGCCTGGGGCTGGCCTTCCCTGCCTCGCTGCTCTTTCTTCCCGGGTCCCAACTCCTCCCGGGGACACTGCCTGCACACGGGCCTCTTGTCTCTAGCTCCACTTCCTGCAGTACCTGGGCTGAGACCTCCCCCTGACACTTCATATCTCCTTTCCCTGCTTTATTTTACCCCTCAGCACTTACTGCCATCTGATGTTTGCTGTTCCTATTTATCTTCTTGGTGCCGGCTTCCTCCTGCTGGAATGTCAGATCCATGAAGTCAGAAATCTTTGCTCGTCTTGGCCACTGTGTTTGGATTCTTCAGCCCTGGTGTGTGATGCCATTTCTGTAAACTCAATCCCTCACTCCCTTTTTGTCCTCATCCTTCAGGACTATGGCCCCAAGGTCAACTTTCGGAAACAGAAGCTAAAGACCGCTGGCTTCCAAGGCCTCCCCAGCTTCAGCCGGGAGGTGGTGCGGAGAATGGGCCTCTACCCTGTCCTGGAGGACTTCCGGCCCGTGGAGCAGTGTAACCTGGACTACTGCCCAGAGCGGGGCTCGGCCATCGACCCCCACCTGGATGACGCCTGGCTGTGGGGGGAACGGCTGGTGAGCCTCAACCTGCTGTCCTCCACTGTGCTGTCCATGTCCCGGGAGGCACCTGGCAGCCTGCTGCTCTGCCTGGCCCCATCCGGCTTCCCGGAGGCCCTGGTGGAAGGCGTGATGGCCCCCAGCAGGTCCGTTCTGTGCCAGGAGGTGGAGGTGGCCGTCCCCCTGCCCCGCCGCTCTCTGCTGGTGCTCACGGGAGCCGCGCGGCACCAGTGGAAGCACGCCATCCACCGCAGACACATCGAGGCCCGCCGCGTGAGCGCCACCTTCAGGGAGCTGTCAGCTGAGTTCGGTCCTGGTGGGAGGCAGCAAGAGCTAGGGCGGGAACTCCTGCAAATCTCACTCTCCTTTGAGGGGAGACCCCTGTGAGCTGCCTCCCTGGGGACGGGAGCTGGTGCTGGGGCTGGTGGGGGCTGCTGGCTCCAGAGTGGACCATTCACCAGGACTGGAGGGGCACCAGGCGCAAGGGCCTTGTTTCCCTGATTAGGTTTTAAGAGGATTATGGCCTGACACTCTCGCCCCAAGCAGTAGGAGCCCTGCCTGCCAGCTGGCTTGATGGATTGGGCCTCCGGTTGGTTCTCTTTGGCCTGCATCCAGCCACTTATTTGAGTTGTTTGATTTGTCACATTTTGTGGGCAGTGGCGTAACTTGACCTTAAAAAACATTGGTACCACTTCAGACCATTTTCTTTATCCGTCTCTGAATGGGGTTGTCTGACATCCCAGCCTGCAGGCCCTTCTTTAGGGTGTGTGCTGGACTGGAGACCGGAGTTGGATTTGAGGTTATTGTTGTGTCAGGCGGCAGAGCTGGTGACAGCTTCTGAGTCAGGCTCTGCGCTTGACCCCATGGGGTGCAGGATGTGATGAGGACAGGGAAATCTGAGAGTCTGGTACCCACCCCTCCCCATGCTGTTAAAAACTGGGGTGGGGGGTCTCCTCAGCTCCTGGGACAGTGCGAGGTGGCTCCCTTTCTGGTGTCAGTGCTGTGTGGTGGTGACTTGCGTGGGCGGCTGCCCCGTGAGCAGGGGAGGAGCAGCCTGGGGAGGCTGAGGGTGGCGGTGCGCTCTGGGCCCGTGGCCTGCCCTCTCTCCTGCTGCTTATATGACAGTACACTCGGCTCATCAGCCACACGGTGGGGGCCAGACACGGGGGGCCAGGCCGCATCACGGCCTGGAGAGGTTCACGGCCCTGGCTTTCGTGTCCCTCTGGCACGTTCTCAGCCGTGTCAGGTGTGGAGAGCTGCTGGCCACCATGCCAAGTGGCACTGTGGCTGCCAAGCTGCCGGCCTGGCCTGGAGAGCCCCGCGGAGGCCCCGCAGAGGCTGCGTGCGCGTCTCGGGGCTGAGTGAGCCCATCTGCTGGCCATGGGGGGGGCGGTGGGCTCCCAGATAGCTTGACCGCCGCTCCCCGGGCCAGCTCGGAGCAGGAGAGTGGAGGGGGGCAGCTTCTTCCCCGGTGTGCGACCTCCATGCCAGCCCTCATACGGCGCCCAGACTGGCGCTCCGGTGCAAACCCGGCCAGACTGCCAGCCTGTTTTGCTGCACCTCAGTCGCCAAGGAGGTGCACAGGCCTGGTGGCCTGCCTCCCAAGAGCTGGTGGGGGGTCTCTACCCTGATGGGCTGGGCCTTAGGGCAGCCTGGCCCCCAATGGAGCCTGCAAGATGCTCTGCCCACAGAGGGCTCTGTTTGAGCTCCATCCAGGGAACGTCCTCTGGGTTGCTCCTGCAAGACTTGTGCAGAACCTGCCCGTACTGTGTCCCCAGCAACCTGGGAGGGGCAGCAGGGGCTGGAAAGAGGGTCTAGCAGGTTCTCAGGGGGCCGAGTGAGGAGTCTCTGGCCTTAGTCTTGTCCCATCTCACCCTGTGGGCCTCACCTTCCCAGAGGTGTCTGGGTCAGGACAGTCTCCTCTCAGTAGGCTGGCTGGGCTCACTGGGGAAATGGTCTAGTAAAGGAGAGATTTCCTACAAGGGGGCCTCTACCTTCGTGGGTAACTGTTACAAAACAGGATACTTGGGACCTTGTCTTGAGTGCCACTAGGCCATAGGCGGGATCTGTGTGTTTCTGCCACCCACCAGGACACCTGGCCGCCTCCCCCCAGAGCCCAGGCCCTTGGGGCAGAGAAAGCCCATGGGACCAGAACTCTGGGGGCCCCTCCAGGAGGATGTGCAGGCCTTCAAGCTGACCCTGTCCAGAGGGCTCTGCTGGCACTCGGCCACACACCAGCTGCCCCTTGCTGTTTCCAGAAAGGGAGCACCCTGCTAGGCAGGGGAGGCGGGCAGAGGCGCTCGGCTCTCTCGGGGGCCCACTTGGCGGGAGCCTCTGGGTGTGTCTGGGTCCGAAAGCCCTGCCTGTCCATTCCAGAGAAGTCCGCCCCCCTCACCTTGGAAGCCTGGTGACCAGTGATTAGGGAGAGGGGCTTCTGAGCGTCACCTCCCTCCACAACGTTCCATTGATAGCAGAGTGAGTGATTCATAGTTGGACTTGTTTATTCAGTTCAATCCAGGGCGACTGTTTTAAAAATCCATACACGGGACGGGGTGTGCATACCACACATTGCCTCCATGATGCCGTGCATGATGAATTGATCAGCACAAGACAGGGAACAGCTGCAGATGAGCCCGATCCACTCAGGCTCACACGGTGTTATCCTCAACAGACCTTCCTAGAAGACATTGAAATACATTCTGCCCTGGCCGCTTGTCTAAAATAGAAACCCTTGAGTTTTGAAACTTCTGGTCAGGTACTAAATGGAGACCGTGTTCCACTTTGGAAAGGGCCTCAGCGTATGTGCGGGCATTTGTGTTAGGAGCACCAGGAAGGCTCAGAGGAGAGTTGGGCAAGCCCGCGCTGGCTCCGACGTGGCCCATGGCGCCTCTCACCGTGGAGAGGCCACTGTACTTGGAACCCCCTTCGCAGTCAGGTTGAACCTCCAGAAACCAAGTCTCTAGCCTGTGATTTGCCCTCCTCCTCCCCAGACTGCCCTGCTGAGGTGTTGCCGCAGCTCTGAGTAGCAGCTTGTTCTCCAGCCCCAGAGGAAGCTCTGGGACCGCCCTGAGGTTGTGCCCCCTGGTCGCCAATCCCCAGGCCCACAGTCCGCTCTGTTCCCGCAGAAATTCTCTGCCCCATGCCTCTAGGAACTAGCAAGGCTGGGGCTGAGAGAGTACGCTAGATGAAAAGAATAAGAATGTTATTCTCCTAATCAGTGTCTGAAATGTGATATGTGGCATCTTTCCTACCCATGCGGCACTGGTAGTGGGCACCTAGTGTCTGACCCTGGACCGAGCTGGCCTCTAGCTCACCACTCCTTGGGTCTGGAACATGGGGCAGGGGCACCAGATGGCCTGGGAAAGTGGGCAGAAGTGGGCCCAACAAGGCCCCTCTCAAAAGGTTCAGGCCAGAGGAACGGCCTGCTGCCCCTCCCAGCTGTGGGGAGGAATCAGCCTGTCTTGTCCCTGCCAGGACACAAACTGGCTGTCTTGCAGTGATGCTGACATTCTTTTGCAAAGCAAACACATACTAAACCAGACGAGCCTTTTCAACAAGGCTTCGGGAGAGGAGAGACGTGCACTGGGGAGCAAGCAAGTCACGACAGACGTCTGCAGAGGATGCGAGGGACATGCCCTTTGGGAGACGCCCGGGCTCTTCTTCAGCCCTGCAGGACGTGATGTCTGGGCTGCTTGTAAATGCCATGACTTACACCGGTGATTCTCAGCATTTCAGAGTTATGTGTCAAAGTTAATGTTCCCAACAGTATGTCATGGTCCCAGAAACCCCAGCCAGGCCAGCCAGGATTTTTTGGCACAGACAATGTAGACCCTACAGAGACATTAGGCTGTGGATAGAAATGCCATCACAGCATTAAGTCCAATGACTGGAAACAAAAGGAAAGGCACCCTCCTCCAGTGGCTGCTGGCCAACGTGGTAAAATGTGGTTCCTAAAAGTAGCTCAGGGCGCGGCAAGCTCACACAAACTGAGCTGTAGTGTGTATGTGTTCCGCCCAAGAACATGGGCTCAGGTCTACCAGATGCCCTTCTTGAAAACACCAAAACCCAGGCTGCTTGTGGCTGCCTAACAGTGTCACGGGCCTGTGCACGCGGCCTGGGGCCCAGGAAGGGAGCACTGCGCAGGGCCTCACCTCCCCTGCCATTGTTCTGTGTCACTATGGGTGCGACCTGCATTCGGCCAGGGCTGGCCCCTGACACCACCACCCACGGACCAGGCCAGGCCATGGCCTTGTCTGGACAGGAGGTCCCCCAGGCTGCCCCCTCCCTGCTGCCTGGGACCACAGCATCAGGGAGATGGGCAGGCTCTGCAGCCTGAGGGAGTGCCCTGGCCTGCGGCTGCAGCCCAGAGGGGCAGCTGACTAGGCTCAGGGCATTCTGTTACCAAGAGGTGGAGGCCACTGGACTTTAGGCCCTTTCCTTGACCTGGTAGCCTTTCTAGGTCAGTGTGGCCAGGGCTCTAGGCTAGTTGGGGAGAGAGAACTTGAGCACAGTGTGCTTCAGAGCACTGCCTCAGTTAACAGCCACCTCAAGTAGGCGCCTCAGCCAGGATGCACGCCTCCGTGACCCTGCAGGCCTCCACCCTTGGATGTCTCCCCCAGGGCCTGCCAAGTCTGCCGCCGGCTGAGCACCCACCGCACCTGTGGGCCTGACCTGTGCCCTAGGCTCCTGCCTTCCCCCAACAAGCTAGGCTTCTTGGGGGCCGGGAGGGAAGCACCAGGCCAAGCTGTCATCCTGCGCCTTCTAATCACAGCAGGGTGGTGCCGTCAGACATGCCCCTGGCTGCCACAGCCCAGCTCAGGTGTCATGGGGCAATCCCTTCCCTGCACTCACAGCACTGCTCCAACTCTCCAGGCCTCTGCCAGCCTCCCTGGCTCAGTGGCCACTCACTCCAGGTCCCAGAGGTGACCGCCACTGACCACCTGGTGGTACTCGAAGCCTAGTCTCCTATCTTAGGAAGTCCCCAGGGCCAGAGACCTCTGAGCTCTTAGCAACAGGGTTGCTCATTTAGCTAAGGATTTCCACCTTCTGCAGGAAAATGATCTGGGTTTGACAGCATTAAGACAGAAGTTAACTTTGGTCTGGAACTGTCTGGCAGTGCCTAGGCAGCCTTGTCAGCAATCTGCATTTGTCTGCATTTCTGAAATTCCCCATCAGGCGGGCACTTTCTGGTCCCTCTGGATGCCGCACTGGCCCTGCCCAGGAGCGCGCACGTTCACACCACCTGCAGGCCACGCTCGTGCCCGTCCAGCTGCACCTTGAGCTTGTGCAGCTCCTCGATCTCGCGGTTGTGCCGTTCAGTTTTGTGGCGCACCAGCGAGCGGTAGAAATGGATGGTGAAGACCACGAAGATGAGACCCACAGGCACCATGATGATGGTGGAGACCAGGGCAGCCTGCCAGCCCGTGTGGCCGCCAGGGCCGGGCGGGGGGCCGGGCTGGTGCCGTGCATCCACTGGCAGAAACTTGATCCAGCAGAGCAGCACCACCTCGGCCAGGAAAAGCAGGATGCCTAGCACGGTGGAGAAGCCCCAGGCCAGCTCAATGTAGGGGTGCATGCGTTCGTGCGGTGACTCGCTGATAGAGTTGAGGTTGTGGATGTTGCTCACCGCCTCCACGTTGGGCAGGATGCACGTGCTGATGAGCAGGGCGAACAGGTGCACGGCCACCAGTACCGTGGTGCAGGCGCTGAAGGCGATAAGCAGTGGCCGCGGGTACTGGTACTGTGTCTCCAGCTGTACCTCCACCATGGCCACCTGCAAGGCAGAGGGATGCTGGGCGAGGGCATCCTCCTTACCATTCAAATTCTAAGGAGAAATCTAAAAAGTACAGAAGAGACTGAAGAAGCACTGGGTGGGGAATCACAGCCTGGGTACCGAGCTCTGGCCCTGGGCAGAGGCCACACTCCTCTGGGAACATGCGGCTCTGGTGTTGGTATCAGAGTCAGGCTGCAGTGGGGCTTAGCTGCAAAGCAACTGCTGTTTTTCAAAAAATAAAAACTGACCTTTCAAGAGGTTAAAAAAAAAAATGTAGTAACACAGGCTCCTCATAGTCCTCAGACTCAGAGCTGCGCACCCGCATGGCCTCACCCAGGCCACACACAGGGTGCCTCTCCCCAGAGACCAAAAGCTGGAGGGAGAAGCCAGGAAGGGGGCCGGGCTGGAAGAAGGGAGCTGAATCATCAGCGGCAGTCACAGGAGGCCAACAGGCAATGGGTAAGTCAAGAAACAGCAGTTCCAGAATATTATTAGAAATGTGGCGACGTAGGAGCTGCAGGTGGCTGCCCCCTGGGGGTGGGAATGCAGGATGCTGGGGTTCATTACAAGCCCCTGCAGTACTTAATTTTTAAACTGTGTGCGAGTATTAACTTTGATAAAATAAAAATGACTTTTAAATGAAAGGGAATAAAAGGCCCACAGAAGGACCAGAAGCCCCAGCTTACCTCTGAGGCAGGGAGTGTCTATAGACATTTAGGCCAGGACCTGCTCACCACAAGCCCTAAGGGGCTTTCCAAGTCCAGACTGGGAACCATGCCCCCACCATGCTTCCCTGGGTCACACCCAGTCCACTCGGGATGGCTCCCCTGTGGCCCACACCCTACCCCAGCTCTGTGGACCAGCCTGAGTGGAAGGTGTAGTCCAGGCTCACCAAGGACCTTCTCCCAGGCACCCAAAGGTCAGAAACCAGACCCATCAGGAAGGGGCAGCGGGGAGGCAGAAAGAAGCCAGAGGAAAGCTTTTCCACTCACTCTGTTTGTCTCCTAGATCTGAACAAGAAAGAAGATTTCATAACTTCTAGCAACGACTGCTTCTTAGAGTGAAAACCTCGTCCCTTCACCCCATCTTCAGTGGAGATGGAATGTCTGGTAGGTAAAAAGAAGCTATGGCATTCCTAGTGGACCACGGCTGAGCAGAAACTCAGCAGTGATCACTGCTCCAAAGAGAGCAGCCACAGTACTGAGTTGAGGGGTGGCCCTTTCTCAGTGACCCTGTGGGCTGGGTAGGCTCCTGGGACCACAAAGGATGTGACACAACAAAAAAGGATGTCGAAAACCTCAGGGGCACAGAGATAGGAAACAAAGATGATTAAGACCTACAAGGAAAGCAGTTTTTGTTCCACTTCAAGAGGAGAAAAGGCCAAAAGGCCATTTTTCTGTGTGTTTATGCAAAGATTTTATGAGGGGGTCTCGGATCACTCTGAATATGAAGAAATAAGCTTTAAAAAAAGAAAAATAAATAAGCTTAAGGTCAGGCATAAGCATCTTTTGTTGGACAAAGGAACAGCTTTGCAATTCTAATTAGGGAATATATATTATAAAGAGGGGGCTCCCCCTGGAGAACGGCCCGTTTTCATTTTTCCACGTCCCTGCCCTTATTCCGTTGTGGTTTCCATAGCGGACGTTCTAACTGACGATCCACATTCGTCACTTCTTTCTCCCAGGGCGCTCTGCAGTCTGAATAATTATCTGATTTACTGGCGGGTCTGTTCATCTACTCAAGTGGGTGTGGCTGCTTTCCCCACCCCAGTCCGGCCCCTTGTTGTTTCCACTGCCTCCAGGTTTTCAGGCTGGAGCTCAGGCTGGATCTCGGATGCCCGTTAGGCTGTGGCAGCTCCCTGAGAGGGACCTTCTAGAAGAGGGGACAAGGGCAGTGTTTGGCTTCTGAAATGTACCCCCAACAGCTTAAGGAAGCTCTTGCTGGTACAGAGATTCCCCATAAACACTGAAGAAATGAATTACCACTCCCATCCCTGCCTCTCCATGGTCACTCTTCTCTTCTAAGAACACTTCATGCCCCTGAAGGCAGCCATTAAGCCTCAAACTACTCCAGAATTTACTCTTGGTTTTCTGACTTTAGTCACAAGGGCTTCTTTTCAAATTTTAATGAGGGGTTTTGTAGCCTTCAAACTGGGTGAGCATTTTGTTGGGAAAAACAGTGGATCCTCCCTAAATTTGGAAATCCAAATGTTTGGAAGACCAGGGTCTCAAAAGACAGCCGCAGACAGGAAGTGATCTCGGAGACCTGGGCCCCACACAGAAAGGAAGCCATCCTCCAGCACTAAGTCATGCAATACTTCTCAGAGTTAGTTTTCCAAAGTTAAAAAAATAATAAATACAGGCCAAAAAATGTACTGCAATACCTTAATTCTTCTGTGGAGGCGAAGATAAGATCTAATTTCAAAAGTGACGTCTAAACCTTTCACACATATTACTTAAAATTAAGCTTGAGAATATATTCTCTTTTTAATGTGATAGAAACCACAGGAGGAAAATCAAGCCAAAGTTATGCCATGTGATTGCACACTTTTGTAATTATGTTTTAAAAAACAAAATGCAGACCTAAATAAGCCTTTGCTTTATAGACCTAAACCCAAGTTGACTATCTGCTAAATTTGGTGACCTCTGCCCCGCCCTGTACGAAGTAACGCCCTGATTCATTTTTCAGAGGGTGACCAGTGTCATTGGTCGAGCAGGCCCTTGTCATGGGAGTGGCCACAGTGGCTCTCTCGGACAGCTTTTTATTTTCTGCATATCAATTTGACAACTGAGGCTCTGGGCTATGGAGAAACAGCAATTGTTTTCACATTAAAAAAAAATGACTTCCAGCCCAAAAGGACCTCTGAACATACAACAGAGAAAGAGGGGGTGGCCACAGTGCCACGTGTTCTCACTGTGACTCCCGATATCCCCACCCTGAAGGGATGTGGGTCTGCTGGCTTTGGAGTCAGCAGGAGAGGTGGCCCTTCAGGGCATGTGTTTTTTTTCCCCTAGAGACAGACTCTAGTCCTGGGGGATGACTCAGAAGGAAAGTACATCCAGGCAGCTGGAGTCAGGCCAGAGGCTCTGCTTCGTCACCCCAGAGACGACATTCAGGGAGCATCTGTGCCCCTGGCTGAGCTACACTGAGCAAACCCAATTAATCCCACAGTTCCTGCTCAAGTTTCCAAACTTTTGGGTGGTACCTGAGATGGGCAGATGTGGGTACTTACCCCGAGGAAACCCTGTACGCTGAAGCTATTTTAATTACTCCACGAACTTCCTCGCCTAGTAAATACTTTATGTGAGTGTGGGAGTGGGCTTTCTGAGGGCTGTGGGGCTTGGAGACTCCCCTGAATGCCCCAGGTAACCCCCTCAGTGGACAAAGTAGTCCCCTTGGAGGAGCTGCGACACTGGCAGCAACTTCCAAATGGTCTATCCTGGCTGCTAGCAGGGCCTGGAGGGAGTGATTTCCTCCCGGACGTATCACAGGACTTCAATTAGCAAGAGCCCGTTTTACAGCCGTGCTTCCCACCACGTGTTTGCACTCACCATGGCAAAGCCCGAGAGGAGGGCGGAGGTCCGGCTGGAGGCCTTCAGCTTGGCCCTGCTCAGGTAGAGCTTCCTCCAGGAAAGGGCCTGCACGGAGTGGTGGTTGGAGGTGACCAGTTCCAGGTAGCTGCGGCGGACCCAGTCCCGGTAATCCATGCCCTTGTGGCCGGGCTCAGGGCAGGCAGGAGTGGAGGGGTCCACAGGCACGTTGAGCTCGGCACTCATGGTGGGAGCCAGGCTGGCGGCAGGAGAGACACACTCAGGCATCCCAAAGGGTTCCCAGGGCCCAGAAAAGCCAGAATTCAAGTCTCTTTAACCTCCCCCAGGGTCCACTGTATACACCCTATGCAGGGGTCATGGAATCCAGGGATGGGTGAGTGTGGGGCCCTGGCCTCTGGAATGTGGGGACCACCTGCAGGAGAGGAGGGTCAGGAGTGCACCTCCAGGAACCACTGCAGCGTCCAGTGTTCCTCCACAAAGCTGGAATCCAGCCTTCCATCCCAAGCACAGACAGACTCCAACTGAGTGTGGCTCTGGGGTGAATGGAATTCCAACGTTAGCCAAAAGCACCTAAGGAATCCTCTGATGTGCACTTACCTTCAGGGAATAGGAAGCTGTAGCGTTTAAGAAAATTCTAGGACTGAAAGCTTCTAGATTTGACCCCGCTGTGTTATCCTGAGTATGACACCTGACCTTTTCAACCTGCTCACCTTCACATGGAGACATCCCCACCCTACAGGGTTCTTAAACCAAATAACCAACTGCAAAACTCAAAACTGCTTTCCAGCGTCCAGGTAGCTGGCATCAACATGAAATCATTTCCAAGCAGCTGCTAGTCTCTCAAATCCCACTTAGATTTTAATTAGTACGGTTCAGCCTGAAAAATACCTGGTTTATATAACTAAAGTCAGGCCATATCCAGGCTGCAATGGAAACCTTTAGCAAAGTGAAAAGCTAAATTGACCAACAGATATGAGCATGTGTTTTCAGAGAAATGAAGGCTGGAGACCCCTTGAGTTGTCCCAGGTAGATATCTAGTTTGCCAATAACACAGAATGAAGATCAGAAGGGCTGATCTGTTGAGATTTGTCAATTTAAGCCCAGATCTCCACTAATCCAAATAGGGGATTGGAGGTCTCATGTGGCCCAAGGAGCTGGCCGGTGCGGCAGCACGCAGGATCAGCTCTAATTAATCTGTGGGGCAGGCTTCAAGGGCACAAGCACCTCACATCTCACTTGGCATCAGATATTAACTTGTACATTCAGGCCCGCATAGGCCCGGTGAAAAGCCTACTTAAGGCTATTACAAACAGATCAGTGTTCCAAGGTCCCAGGGAGCATGGCTGGGGGTGGGTAGGCGGGGTAGGGGTGTTTCCCAGGGTCAGCGGCTGATAAAATGCCCCACACCTGATCCATCCATGCCAATTCCTCAAAGGATTCTCCAGGGAGGTCCTGGAGGCAGGGAAGGGCTCCCTCTTTTGGGGTGCCGCCTTCTTGGTTTTCCACCAGGCTTTGGAGGCACAGCTTTTACTGGCCAGCAGGGCCCTGGGGTACAGTTCTGTCCTGTTCCATTTCTGCCCAGGGATGCCAATTACAAGAGGGCTGACTTGGGAACCTTGATTACTCCTCCCTCACCCTGTCTGCAGCCAGCAGTACTGCTTTCTAGCACTTCAATCATAGGAACGTCCCTTCCCTTGGGGAGAATTCAGAGAAATGTTCACTAACCAATCCACTGCTTAGCAACAAGTAATTTAGAATGGCATCATTTGGAAATGCATTTTTTCTCTTCCTTCCCAAACATAACAGAAGTGAGCCCACAGGTATGATGAAGACACGGTACAGCGTGTGGAGAGGTGAAAGGCACAACCTTTGCCCCCTCAGAGGATCTGTCTCCCCATCCTGCATCCAATAGCTGCTTACTGGGCCCTAAGGTAAGACTGCATTTGGTACCTAAGTATCAAAGAGGAAAGGTGAGAATCCCGTGAGTTCCTTTAAGAAACTCACTGTCCAGTGGGGGAGTGAGATGAGGGGGTGGTTCTCATCCAATACACTAAATGCTGCTTTAGTGGAGGGAGTGTGAGGGTTGAAGGAGTAAGGGAGGGGCTGGCTGCCTCTACTCCGAGGGAGCCAGGATAGGGACAAGGACATAGGTAGTGAAGGTGGCACTGGCAAAGAGGAACCCTCCCTCAAAGACAAGATGCTGCCCACATGGGAGGGTTCTGAGAGGCAGGGGGACACGGCAGGAAAGTGGCTGCAGCAGGGGTTCAGGGAAATGGGGGGTGGAAGGTAAGATGCAGGGAGTATGTGGAGCCCAGGCAGAGTGATTGTGTTGGACTTGGATCTGGTGGTGCCCGGGGCTTGTAACTCAGGGAGCAATCTGGGGTCAGTCTGGTCTGTGTGCCCACTGAAATGGTTGGCTGACTGGGAAGGACAGGAGGGCCTGGCGGCCTCTGAAGGGAAGCACGTGGATAATCAGTGAGCATGGGCTGAGCTCAAGTTGGAGAGCACAGATGGAGAGTGTGATGGGCAGTGAGGGCTGATGGTGGCGTCTGGGTCATGGTGGCCTCTGAGCAGTGGCTGGGGCAGCCTCAGCTCTGCAGATGTCCTCAGAGTGGCAGGGATTGGGAAGGAAGGGCTGGCTGTCTGCTTGCAGCCTGGGTCTTGAGGTCAGCCTATGCGTCCTGAAGACGGAAAAGCCGCTTCCTGCAAAGGGAGCAGCCCAGACAGGATTCAGATCCATCCTCACCCTCCCAGCACCCGCGTCCTACCTTGGGCCAGGCCTCCTGCCCCTGCCGCAGGGAGAGGCAGAGTCTGGTACTCACACTCCACGGCTGGGCTCAGGCAGGGGGTGGGGCGGGACAAGATGGAGCCCGACATCTCTGTCAGGTGGCAGAGGCTCCGAAGGATGCGCTTGTGGGGGGTTTTGGTTTTGTTTTTATATGCGGGGCAGTCAGAGAAAAGAGACCTTGTAGAATAGCGTTGACGCTCTCTAACGATTAGCTACTCTCCTTGGCAGGGTTGCTGAAAGCATTTCCAGGGGGTAGGTTTTGGGGTTTGCCTGTCTTAACTTCCTTTAAACATCTGGGGCACGAGCAATGGCGAGTGCCACGCAAAAACGGCCGTTTCTGACTCTCTTTGTCTCACCGTGCGGGGCAGGGGCCCAGCAGCACCCCCTCCCCGAGATCTCCCGGAGGAGTCCACCTGCATCCCTGTGCCTTCCCCTCGGGAAGCCCCAGCAGCCGCAGGACCCACACTCGGCCATTGCCCCCGATCTCCGAGTCGTCTCGGCGCCGCACCCGCCCGGGGATCCCGCCGGGCCGGGGTTACCTGGTTGCCTCCCAACTCGGCAGCCGTCGCGTCCCAAGCCTGCCCAGGAGGAAGCCCATTC